ACCCCGTCCTACTCCTCCATAATTTCCCTTGGGTGGCCCTGTACAAACATTCAACCATGGCTATCCCAAAGTTCCTATCCTCCTTCATAACACACCCAGATCCCTTTCAGTCACCCCTGACCCACCCCAAACTTCCCTGTAGGACATGGAAGTCAGCGCAACAGAACTCATGAACATTCTCAACAAAGTGGTAACCCGACGTGAGTGACTGGGGTTAACACATTGGGCAGGTTTAGAGGTATGGAAGCTGGGGTAGTAGAGACCTCTGGCCTCTGACCTTCAACCTGTCCCCCACAGACCCTGATCTGAAGACTGATGGTTTTGGCATTGACACATGTCGCAGCATGGTGGCCGTGATGGATGTATCCTTGAGGGCACTCTGGAAGAGGCCTTGAATGAAGAAGGAATTTTCTGAGAGCATGAGTGGGAACCAGGGTACAGCTTGCATACCCACAGATGTGGACAGGAATACATTAGAACACACCCACCTATGGACATGTGGCAATCAATAATAATATCAGCTATCATAGCTGGCACTTACTTGTACATCAGAACCAGTCTGTTAGACACATACAATTATTATATTCCATTCTATAGGTAAAGAAACAGACTCAGAGAGAGGCAGTCATTTGTCTGAAGTTATAAATAAAGAGTAAGTGGCAGGATAGGAATTTGGACTCCAGGTCTTTTGGACTTGAGAACCCAAGCTTATAATTTCCCTTGGGTGGCCCTTGTACAAACATTCAACCATGGCTATCCATAGGTATGCCTACATGCACATATATACATGCACACACAAGGGCACACCCATATACACGAAGATATGTGATGGCATATGCACAGGAACACATGTGTCTATTTGCACATGGCCAGTCATTAGCTAATCTTGGATATATGCACACTCAGCACATAGGTCAGTGCAGACACACACATATTTTCATGTTGTGTGATCATGTGATTATATAAGAGTTACCTGCAAAAGGTTTAGCATAGAGAGTGGTCTGTACATGTTTGGTGTTACTATGATCATATGCAGGTAGTTTTTTTGTTGTTATCCACATCAGAGGATATTTTTTCCATTGCTTTTCAGAGAGAGTAGAAGGGAGAGAGACGTGTCAATATGAGAGACACATATCAGCTGGTTGTCTCCTGTACTATTGGGAGATGGGAAGTGAATCTGCAACTCAGGTATGTGCCCTTAACTGGGAATTGAACCCACAACCCTTTGGTGCGAGGGCCGATGCTCTGACCACTGAGCAATGTCAGCCAGGGCTGCAGGTAGATTTTTCAGCTCTAAATCTATTTGTCTCTGTGACTGGGAACATTACTTGTGGGACTGGTGTCTTGAGGATTTAGTGAGCAAAGTTATGGTCTGAGAAGCTTAAAACTGGTGTGTGTACTAGGTAATCTGGTAAGTCTTGGTAGGTTGTTACTGAGAATTTATCAAGTGCCAGCACCGGAGGTAAGAGCTTTCTGCCAATATCTCATTCTGTTCTGATCACAAACCCATCATGTATTCACTACTGTCTCCTCATTTTCTTAGAGCTCTAAGGTGCCCCTGTTTTTTTTTATATGTTCTAACATTTAGGAAATCAAATTACTATCAAGGATTTAATAAACGAGGAATTAGTAACTATTCAGGTGAGAAATTTATAGTTTGGAAAAGTTTATTATAATTCCACAAGGTTATGTTTAAGGAGAGTCCTAACCATTTAGAAACATAAAGTGGCCCTGGCCGGGTAGCTCAGTTGGGTAGAGCATTGTCCTGATAGGCCAAGGTTGTGGGTTCAATCACTGGTTAAAGCACATAAAGCAACCGAGGAATGCATAAATAAGTGGAACAACAAAATTGATGTTTCTCTCTCCTTCCCTCCTTTCCTCTTTCTCTAAAATCAATAAATAAAATGTAATGAGAACATAAAGTAAAATTTGTATGGATAAAACAAGAAATAGCACCACATCCAAGGTAACATGACTAGGGTGAGATAGAAACTGGGGTTTTAGCCCATGTTTCCCTGCTTGGCAGTTGCCATTTTGATGTACACAGGGTGTACAATGCACACATTTAGTACAGCTATTCTTAACACCCTTCTGCCAGAGTGACACAACAGGCAAGCTGGGTTTCGAGGAATTCAAGTATTTGTGGAACAACATCAAAAAATGGCAGGTGTGTGGTGACCTCTGAAACTTAGCATGAAGACTTCTAAGCCATGGAGATGCTGTGCCCCATGATGCTCATTTGGTCCCTGACCTCCCTGTCCCCACAGGCCATATACAAACAGTTTGATGTTGACCATTCAGGAACCATTGGCAGCAGTGAACTTCCAGGGGCCTTTGAGGCAGCAGGTATGGCTGGTGGGGACATGGTGGGGCTGGGGGTAGGATTGGTGAGACAGCCCCACTGAGCTGGTCTGAGTCTGAATCTGGGAGTGGGTTGGGCTTCATGGCCCCCACACCTGAGAGACTAAATCATTGTCAGGGTTCCATCTAAATGAGCATCTCTACAACATGATCATCCGACGCTACTCAGATGAGGAAGGGAACATGGATTTTGACAACTTCATCAGCTGCCTGGTCAGGCTGGATGCCATGTTCCGTGAGTGACACTGCAGCTCTCTTCGGAGCAGGGGTGAATTTTATTTGTTCAACATCCAAGAAATTAGCCAAGGTCTTTGAGCTTAACCCTGAGGTGGACAATGGTAGGGGCACTGCAGTGACCAAAACAGCCCCAGATCCTGCCCTCACATCACTCACAGTCCAGTGGAGGAAAGGCAAATCATCAGTGACAGCTCAATGGTTGCTGCTGGGCTAGAGGAGGTTCAGGGTAGAGTGATGGGGGCTCTGAGGGGAAGCTCAGGGCAGAGTGCATTTAGATTTGTGATTGTGGAATCTCTGAGGGCTTCAAACTAAGAGGCAGCCTGAAGGGTCAAGGAGGGCTTCCTGGAGGAAGGCACATGTGAGCTGAGACTTTAGGGGTGAGGAGGAGTGATCCCGTGAGAGAGTGGGGATGAGTGTTGCAGTGGAAACAGCCTGTGTGAAGGCCAAAAAGGAAAGAGAAGATGGTAGTTTTGGTGTTTTTTGTTGGACTCAGTTCAGCATGCTGAAGAGGGGGTGGGATGGTGAGACAAAAGGCTGTGAGGAGGGGACAGCAGGGACTGGATCATAAAGGTTCTTTTGAACATTAATGCACTGAATCTTTAAGATCACCCTGAGAATTGGGAATTATTGTCCCCATTTTATGGAGAAGGAGCCTACGGTTCAACGAGACAAAATAGCTTGCTCACAGCCACTCAGCAAGGAAATTAATTCCAAAGCCAGAATTTGAACTCCGACCTGTTTGAGAGAGTTGAGTGAAAGGAAGAACAATGGGCATGTAGGGCTGTGAATGCCAATTTTTAGGGGTGCTCAGAGAGTGGGGGCAATGGAGAGCTACAGTAGGTTCTAGGCAGGGGAGGGATGGTCAAATTTGGCTTTGATCCCTTGGCCTCCCAAGAGACTAGGAAGGACCACACATTAAGAGCACGGGTAGAGGAAAAGGGACAGGTATGCCAAGGCTATGAAGGGAAGGCAGGAGTGGACAATAGGGTAGATGATGCCAAAAGTCACATGTGAGAAGGCCCAAGAAATGTCCACTGGAAGAGGGTCAACAGTAACTGCTGTGAGTGCAGCATCTAGGACACCAGGTAGTATGTGGACATCTGAGGGTGGTAACAATGTAGAATGAGAGAGAGGAAGCAAAGGCAGTGTGGGCACCTGTTTGCCCAGGTTTAGCTGTGGGTGGAGAACATGGAGGGGAGTTTCAGGGCAGGAGTGGGAAGCATGCCAGATGGTAAGGCAGGAAGTGAAGTCTGTAGAGTCTCTTTCCAATAGTCTGTTTAAGCTAGAACTGGAGGGCTCAGAAGTCAGTGGGAAGCTGGGACTTGGGCAGAGGGTGATGGTGCATGGAGGCCATTATTGAGGTGGGTAACAGCCTGGGTTTCAATCCCAATTTCCTCACTTTCTTACTGTGTGACCTGGAACACATCACTTCTCTGTGCCAGATTTTAAAATGACACATCTCTCAGAATTGGATTAAATTAGTTAATATATGAAAAGCACTTTATACAGTGCTTGGCACAAGATGTTAAATCAAGTACTAGCTACTATTATCATCATCCCATATATTAGTATATTTTTATTCTAAAAGCCACCCCTTCCCTCCTTCCTCAACCCTTCTCTTCTCCTCTAGGTGCTTTTAAATCTCTTGATAAAGATGGCACTGGACAAATTCAGGTGAACATCCAGGAGGTAAGAACTCCCATCCTGCCCTCCCTTTAGCTCTGAACTGGATTCCCTCCCTCCTATTTTCCCAACAGTCCCTGGGGAGGGCAGAGAAGGGCTCCTGGTATTCTAATCCCAGTTCTCCTCCTCACTCTCTGTGCCTTTCTCTCCCCAGTGGCTGCAGCTGACTATGTATTCCTGAGTGGGAACCCCAGACCTCTCTCCTCATCACCTCACATTAGGTGTCACCTTGGACATTTTGGTCTCTCCCAGGGCTGATCCTGTCTGCAGTCATGTCTTTGTGGGTCCTGCTGACCCACCAGCTTTTCCATTTTCTGTTGGCAACTAGCTTCTCAGACAACAGCTAGGGCTCAACATGTCCCAACATGCCATGCCCCAAGTTACATCTGGCTCTAGGACACTCTAACACCCTGCCCCATGGGTCGCTCCACCCTCGGCATACCCACTCCACAACCCTTCTCACACATCTATGCTAAGTTGTGTCACTTCCACACCCCAAGGGCCCTTCTCTAAGTTCTGGGAGAATCACCCTACGCCCTATGCACCCTGGCACACCAGTTCAGTTAACCACCCAGCCATCTGAACTCCAGGTCCTAACAGGCCACAGATGCCCCAATGCCTTTGTATTCTGCCCCAGCCTGCTAGACCCAGGAGGAAATAAATGCACCCCAGTTGCTGCTCTAAGATCTGCCTCCTGTTCTGAGAGTTGAAGGGTGGCTTAGGCTCTGTCTGGGGCAGAGGGAGTCTTGGTCCTGGTGGTGGAGTGGGGGTGGTTTTGTGGGTCTTTGTGTCTATCCCAAAGGCTGGATCTGCATGTCTTTCTCACAGTGGATCCCAGTCGAGTTATATCCTCATTCTTGCCAAGAAACTTGAGAGAGTCTGTGGAAGTTGAGAGTGGGACACAGAGGCCTGGGCACTCCTGCTCCTGCTGCCAGAGCAGGGCTGGTGGGAAGTGTCAGTGTCACCCCTGGTTCTGTCTCCCAAGGTCATGTTTGTCCGCTCTCATCTGTGCATGAGTGAGTTTGTTCTTCACTTGCCTCTTAACTATTTCACCATGACCACATTTAGCATCTTCCTTCCCACCCCCCAGAGCCTCTGAAGGGAGAGGAGGGCTGCTATCCTAGGATACATATCCCTGTCCCACTCAAGGACACCACCCTCGGTCATCAAAGCCTGAGGGGCAGGGGCAGCCCAAGGGTACTGTTTGGGGTCCCCAACCCCCCTGGGAGGGCTGAGAGGCAGTGACATCCTAGGAACAGTCCCGGTCTAGAATGAGGGACTCAAGGCTGGGGCAACGGGCTGTCCATAGGACAGAGATTACTTGCTAATGGGAGGACGGAGTGAGGGGTGCACATAGAGGCCAGGGCGGGGCTGGGTTCCCCAATAAGCCAGCACATTTATTGATGCTTGTTCAAGTCCTTCAGGTCCTGCAGGCTTCTTGGTCTCACTTCTGGTGGGGGAAGGAAGCCCAGCCAAGGCAATACAGACTGTAGACCGTGCCTGGGGAGGGAGTGTAGGGGATACAGAATGAGACCCTAATCGCTTCCTTGAACCCCATATTGGGTTTTTAAACCCACCTGCAGACTCACCAACCACCAGTCTGGATCCCAGCCCCAGTTCATGGTTCAAACTCCCTCCTCAAACTGCACTTCAGGTGGGGAATCCCTGGTCTTTGATCCAGACCAGGCCCTGAGCTTCTACCCAGCTCCTGCCAGGGCCCGAGGGCCCCTCCTGGGATAGAAGCCCAAGTCCTAGGGAGCTCCCCCATACCCCCTATATGCTGGCCTGGACGCCAGTACAGTCCCCAAACCTGGCCAGCCCAGAACCCAATCCCCTCCCTAAATTCCAGCCCGAGAACCAGCCCCCTTCCTCACTCCAGCTTGAGCCTGCCTCCTGCAGTTCAGTCCGAACAGGCCCCGCACTCACCTCCCAGACACAGTCCCATGGTCAATCGGTAGAGAATGTTGTCGGTTCCCCCGCCCTTCAAGTGCACCGGAAGGTCATTGTCCGCCTGGTGTTGGGGGCGTCCAATAAGAAAAGGGTGCTGTTGTGGCGAAGACGGTCTCCCCCGCCTCCCTCTGGATCGAGCTTACGGCCCCCGCCCCGCCTACCTGGAAGAGTTTCTGTTTCTCCGCCACTCGGTTCTCCAAGCGGTTCCGAGCTGTTGAACTGAAGGAGCGAATCAACGCCTGGGAAGCCTGGGGGAAGGCGGTGGGTGGGAATTAGAGGCACCTGGAGAGGCGTCTCGAAGTGGGTCCAGCGGGGGTTACGGGGGCGGCCCTGGGACCTGAAAGCTTCCCTAAGGCAAGATCAGAGTTGCCAGCACGAGTGGGGGAGGGTGGACTGTCAAGAAAGACCCCGAAGGGGACTAGCGCCTGGAGGGTCTGACTTGGAGGTTACGGTAACCTCACTGGTGGTCCGTGAGGTCCGAAAGGTTGGCGACCGCTGGACGGTCCTGGAAGAGGAGCGGACCCAAAAGGGAGGCGCAGTCCCCTGAATTAATGGTAGAAGCCCAGGTCCCGGAAATACACCCGATGGAGTTTCCAGACAGCCTGAGAGGTCCCGGGAAGGGAAAGGTGTTAAATTCCCAGTGCCTGGGTCCCGAGGTGTTAGGAGCCCTGGACGACGGGAAGGTCAAACCCGGGACTCTGGGCCATGTTAGTGTCCCCGGCTATCTGAGAAGCTCTTGGATTGGGAGGTGAGGGTGGGGGTCCCAGGCTGTTAGGCGGGAGACTCGAACCCTGAATGGGCTCACGTTCCAGTGCCCCAGATCCCCGGACGTTTAGAGAGTCTCGTATTGGGGTGAAGGCTTCCGGGATGGGGGGACCGGCCCGTGGGGGCCCTCACCCGCATGGCCCTCATTCTGCGTCCTCCTCTGCGGCTGGAGTCACCTCCCTCTCCGGCAAGGACACACAGCGGCCTCCGCTCTGGGTGCATCCCAGGCCACGCCCAGCTACATCACAAGACAGGTCAGTCTCCGCCTCTGCAAAGTGGGGTGGAGCCGGAAAAAGCCTGCGGCCAGATTCGGATTCGCCCAATAGGCCCGCGGAGGAGACTCTCCAACCCCACCCCCGCGCCGAATGGTTGAGGCATCCATCTATTACTCATCTCGGAATTTCCATTGGTCCAAGTGGGGAGGAAAGCGGTTCCAAGGAATATATGTTTTGGTTTGTTTCTGAGGAGGAATTGCGCCTGGGGCAAGTGCATTTTCTTCAAGTCTTCTCGGATCTCCTACCCTGATTGCTACTGCAGAGCGAGTGAGGTTGGGATGACACCCAACCAACTGAGCCACACCGGCCAGGGCTGGATGAATTTAAAATAAGGTTTGTGGATTAGATAACATACCAGTATTAATGTCCCTATTTTGATGATTGCATAATGTTTATGTAACAATGTTTTTAGTATTGGGGGGTAAAAGGGTATCATATCTGTAACTTACTGTAAAATGATTAAGAAACAAGATATATATCCATATTCTGTTCGATTCTACTTCTATCTGATTCTGATGTGCAGCCAGGGTTAAACATAGTTTTATCAACCAGTAATAATCCTGGCCTAGTCTAACAATTCTCTTTTAAAGAGGGCTTTTATAACAATCAAATTCCCTTAACACTTTCAGCCCTAGCGGGGTAGCTCAGTTGGTTAGAGCATTGTCCCATTACACCAAGGTTGTGGGTTCCATTGCACATACAAGAATCAACCAATGAATGCTGGAGGGGAGCTAGAGATGTAATATGTCTCCAGCAGTAAAGGCGTGGGGGAAATGTTTAACTTTCTGTGACTGTAACTCTCTGTAGCCGCAGGTTTGACCGACTACCCAGAAAGCCAGAATACCGCCCGAAGGTAAACATCACGCCCCAAGAAGGTTAATGAATGTATAGGGTGTGGATAACTGCCTGATGTTATCTGTTAATTTAGACTTGCATTGTACTTTCTGGTGGCCCGCCACATGCTTTTAATATGAACCCTCTATAAAACAGAGACCCTGTCCTGGGATGGTGTGGATATATTCCTGATGGCCACTGCTGGAAGCAAGCAGCTGCTTTGCCTGTTTATGTGTTTCTCCTATTAAGCTCTAATGAATTTGAATAAAGTTATATGTCAGTTCCTCGGAATCCATCCTGAATTTAGACTTTTGGGGCTTTCCCTCAACAAAAGCATAAATAAATGGAACAAAAAAGTGATGTTTATTTCTCACTCTCTCCTTTGCTTTCTCTCTAAAAGAAATCCATCAATAAAAATTAAAGAAAACAAAATCCCTTAACACTTTCAAACTATGCTTGTAAATTGAATATGTTAGATTTTTTCTATTTATAAACTAATAGAGGTCCAGTCCACAGATTTGTGCACCGACGGGGTACCCTGGCCTGGCCTGCACCCTCTCATAATCTGGGATCCCTTGGGGGATGTCAGAGAGCCAGTTTCAGCCCGATCCCTACAGGCCAGGCCAAGGGACCCCACCCGTGCACAAATCTGTGCACCGGGCCTCTAGTATGCATATAAGATCTTTGGTTAATCTCTTCCCACCCTCAACCCTCACCCCTTCCCTCTGAAATTCATCAGTCTGTTCCATGTTTCCATGCCTGTGGTTTCTGCTCCTGCGTTGAGCATCTTCCCCCTGGTGGTCAGTGTGCATCATAGCTACCAGCCTGTCGGTTGGTCAGCCAGCTGCTTAGGCTTTTATATCTACACTAATAAAAGAGAAACATGCAAATTGGTGTCACTCCACTATGCCCACCAACCAATCAGGATGAGTATGCAAATTAGCCCAACAAAGATGGTGGTCAATTTGCATATGCAGGCACAGAGCAAAGATTGAAGGCTCCGGCCCGAGTGAAGACTAAAGACTGAAGAGGCTTGGCTTCTCCGCTGTGGCTGCAGTGGAGAAGCCAAGCCTCGCTGCAGCCACAGTGGAGAAGCCTAACCTCAAGGCTTGGCTTCTCCACTGCGGCCGGACCAAAGGCCTGGGTCCTGGGTGCCAGAGGAAAACCGGTGCCAGCAGCCAGAGGAAAGAAGGCCTATTGCATGCATGCAACGGGCTTCTAGTATTAGTATATAGATGGTAGGCTTGAAACTGGACAATCAATGAGTCGGGGCTGCCTGTCACTACTTGAGCCAATTAAGCAGAGACAGGGTTGAATTATATGAGCATTTATTTCAATACTGCTGGCAGTATGGGACAGCAGCAAGTCATCCACAAAAATCTCTCCACCCCCACCTCCATAAGCCAGCTGCTTATATTGGGTAGGGCAAACATTACATGAGGAAGTAGGAATTATAGGCCGGAGAAGTATGCAATGAAGGCTGGAGTGGGACACTATTGTTTGGGCGACAAAGTTGTCAATCTTTCCATGATATTAGGCAGTTCTTGAATGAGAATGGACCTCATTCCAAGGTTGACTGCCAGGTCCAAGGTTGACTCCTAGGTCCCAGTGGTGTACAACTCCCAGCCAGGTTAGAATGTCCTTTCTTTAATAAGAACAAGGCAATCACGGTTAACAGAGCATGATTAATATTTCTTATATTATAGCTAGTCCCCAATGTTCTATTTTTGCCTCTAACATTTCCCCACTGCTATTTCTATCATCTCATATCTATGAGATTAGTTTTAGATGAAAAATCTCATCCTGCTGGACTGCATTTGCTTCTGCCTTGAAAGCAGTTCACACATGGAACACAGTGAA